AGTTCTTGGTTTGATAATGGACATTAGAAGCAAGATCAACTTTAAAATAGTTGAGCAAAATCATCTCATGTGTTATCTTTCTTTTGAAATAAGGTGTGCCATTTCTGACATAACATCAAGGGAGAAATTCCCTTTTTACTAAACTTGGACAGATTCTGACCCTTTGTGTGTGGATATCATAAAATATCATTCAAAACATAATAATAGCTATTGATACCCTTTTCTCATTGTCTTTCCTTTGGCTTTGGCCTTGGTTGCCTTCACCTTGGGGTGGCCGTAGCTTGCCTCGACCTAGTGATGGCCTTGGATTGCCTTGGCCTAGGGGTGGCCTTGGTTTCCTTAGACTTACCCTTGGATCTAAGCCTTGTATGATTATATCTTAAATTTATTGTCTTTCAAGTCCAATGTCTAAGTTACTTGGGCTTTGAGGGTGGCCCAAGTCCAATTTTCTTTAGTGGCTGTGCTTTGTTGAATTTATGTTGCATGAATTACTAGATATGCTGGATATTCTTCTTGCTTCCGCAAAGAAGCAGGTTCTCATGTTCGCGATACTCTTAGGATTTTCTGAGTTCACCAGTTTGAGAAAGTGGAGCAGTTCTGCCTTACTAGTTTTAAGTTCAAATATTATGACAGATTCTTCACACTCTTATAATAATAATAGATATATTAAGTTCAAACACTCTGTAAATTTGTCTTAGCACCACCGGCCCATAATTTTTCACTGCATCCAAAGCTAAAAGCCAAGCAACCCTACATGGGACTTCCAAACCAAATGATCCTCTACTCATCCCTCCTCCTTAGTCAGCAACAATGGTGTATGATACTTCAAATTTGGTCGAAATTGCCACTAGTTTTGATTTTTGATGAAACTGGTTTTCACTGGACAAGTCCAATCAGTACACACACACACATATATATATATACGAGACGTGTGAAATTGAGATTAATTTCTATTCATTAAGCCAACCCTTATATATAACCTTAGGTATGTTGCTGCTATTGCCCATAAGCACTTCACATT